GGCCAAACCGAAAGCGACACATAGAATATAAAATTTTTCGCCACGACTGACATGTGTGCCGAGTTTCATGAGTTTTTGAGCATGGGCAAGCTTCCAAATATGCGTTCGTTTAGGAGGAAAAAGAAAAAGAAAAACGAGAAAAAGAATTCCTTCAATTACAATAGGGCCTTCGCACGATTTGTGCTCGGGCCCTAAATATAGGGCAGTCAGTCCAACAACATTACAAACTGTGACCTCAGAAACAACCATAAATACTATGATAAAGTTTTAGGTTTTTAACCAGATTTTTCTCTACAGCTAAATGTTACACACTGGACATTTAAGTGAAAACCACTATTTTTGTGGCTTTAGTTTGCAGAGACACACACTTGACCTCTACAAAACCACTATACCTTTAATCAGTGGTGGGTGTGAGGGGCAGGAGTGAAAAAAATAAAAAGGTCACCAGCAAGCAGAAAATTGTGATGCACTTATAGTGAAACAGCTTAGTCAGGGTTGGGACTTTATAGTGTTTTGTCCACTGGAAGGACACCTTAGAGGGTACTTAATGTTTTATCTACCATTAAAGGGCAAGAGGGCACTTTTCACATGCTATTTTCTGAGTGGGACCTGTAAAATATCATTAGGTCACTGCTGAGGCCTAAGTTTCTATCTATAAAACTACAATTTTGGACATTTTCCCCTCAACTTTCAGGGGCAAACATTGTTTTGTGAATTGCTTAATAAACATTTTTTTGAGTTAAGGACCCAAGCTAATGTTCAGTTAGTTGTCCCCATTCAACCGTGAGAGCAGGCTGTCACATGTCTGACACTGGTTTCCTGCTTGGAAGTTACACATCCAGGACAATAATTACAGTAAATGTGTGCTCATTGTTCAGTGATCCATGCATAGGACATAATTCTCCAATCTAACCACGTTAGATTTTTGCCTTTAATTAATAGTGACAGCTGAACAGGAAAACGGATGACATGGGACCACAAGTCAGAGTCAAACCCAAGGCCACTGCAGCAAGGATTGAGCCTTAGTACATGGGGCATAATGATTACTAGATGAGCTATAGCTAACCCTGATGCTACTAAATCTTACACAATGGACCTTTAAAACAGTGATTAGCAATCGGGAGGTTGGGACCTCTTGTATGGGTCGCCAAAACTTCATGGGGGGCTTTCTCAGCTCTGATTGGTTCTTTACATTCAGACACGGTGGATTTTTGGAAAATACCATGAGGAGCACTAGGAGAAGCCAGAGGAGCCTGCTTTTTTCACAGATCTGTCTCGTGTACTACTGTCAGGATATAGTTAAAGTTTCAGCAAATATTATTGTTATTGAATGTTATTTTTTCAGCTAGTCTGTGTGGAGTTTGCATGTTCTCTCTTTGTTTACGTGGGTTTTCTCTGGGTGCTCAGGGTGTTTCCCCCACCATTAAAAACATCTATGTCAGGTGAATTCTCAGTCAGTTCCCTTGACCAAGGCACTGGCTTATAAAGGGACCGTTGCTACACACTGTTACAGACACTTTGGGGTTATGGGTTAAATTCAGAGATTGAATTTTCCTATGGGGATCAATAAAGGATAACTTATTTGCTACATCTCGTAAACACACTTATCATTTGACTATTGTGCCAAGCAGCACTTAGAGCAGGGGTCACCAACACGGTGCCCGCGGGCACCAGGTAGCCCCCAAGGACCACATGAGTAGCCCTCAGGCCTGTTCTAAAAATGAAAATTGAATATTAATATTTTCTGTTTCCCATCTTGTTAAGTCATTGTTGATAATTATTGTGAGAAGTCATTAACGTGATCAGTGTCTTCACATAGAT